TTGTATTTGTATTTCCTGGTGCTTGCCTCGCCAGGCATGTAAATCAGGATTGTGGGTCTGTTTTTTGTGGAAGCTTGAATATCAGTTCCCCATTCCGGTTGAAAAACCAACCTCCTCACTGTGGTCACCGTAGGTATGAAGTTGAGTGTGACAAAAATAACCGCACCACTTTGGTTTTGAGAGGGGGGAAATTCTTAGTCGAAGAAATATTTTATGAAAATTACACGATGCTAGTGGTTGATGCGGGCCTCGACATGGATGATTGCAACTCCCTCCCTCTCAGTTCTGCATATTATTATTATTCTTACTGTGAAAAACCGATTCAATTGTATCCTTATGATAATCTTAGCCTTATGTATGTTGTGAATTGCACGAAACCTATAGAGTCAGCTCTCTATATTTCAGCATCTCGTTGTAGGGTCAACTCCAATGCCTCTTCCTATTTCTACTTTTTAGACATAAGAACCCCGCCGTCTGATTTAAGTCAATCCTTCACTTTGGAAGCGGAGGTTCCAATTCGGGTTCATAATATCTCGGGCATGTCTACGCTGGCTATCTACAATAAGCTATCTCAAGGTGTCTTTCTTGAATGGAGGCCGGAGTACTACTTGAAGGAGATTCGATGATGGATAAACATTGAAGCAGGTTCTTCAAAATTATATCAACATTTTTTATGCATTTTTTCTATGGTGTGGTGACCATAGGTATGAACTTGAGAGTGTGATCAAAACAACCGCACCACTGTTGTTTTGGAAGAAGGTAAATTCTCTGTACCGGAAATCTTTTATGAAAATGGTTCAATGAAAGTGGTTGATGCAGGCCTCAACAGGAGTGTTATAGTTTCTAAGTTTTGAACCGGCTATAGTTTATATACGAGACTTTTGATATGTACACGTAATTTATCTAATCGAAATTCAAGATCTGATAATAAAATCTATCTGGCATGCTGACTTACGAGTAATCCTAATTATCTTATGTTTGATAGCTTTAGCTAATGCCACTATAAATACCTATCAACCACAATTAGCTATTGTTCTTCAAAAATATATCAACATTTTTTTAATGTATATTTGCTGCTGAACTAATCAGATATGCTAATCATAGTATTCTTACAATTATTTAAAAATTTAAAAATTTTGAATTATCGAATCGAATTGAATTTTATAAGTTTTGTGAAGGGTAATCTTAAATAAATTTCACATTGAACACTTGATGAATAAATAAAAAATCTATAACATTAACGGTTGAATCTCTTCTAACCTCATGCATACATTAGACTGAATAGTAGCTTACGGTTTAGGGACAACAATTTAATTCGAAACTGACAGACTTCGACCTAATTTGATGAGATCTGATTTAAAAAAAAAAAAAAAACTAAGTTCGGATCAAGTCAGGATTATATTTTTTAGAAGTGAAGTTGGATCAGGTTCGGGTGGGCTGTGAAAAAATTCCAATCTGATCTAACCGGGGTAATAATATAATTTCTTCAAATAAATTTATAAATAATTATTATATTAACCCTCTGTCTATTGTTTTTTAATTAAATTCTTATTTTATATTAGGTTGGATCAAGTCGAATCAAAATTATATTTTAAAAATTCAAGTCGGATCAGATTCGGATGGAAGGTATATATTTTTTGAATTGGATCAAGTAGAGAATATATAATTTTCAGATCAAATCAAATTTGGGTTAATAATATATATTTTTCGGCACCGATCGAGTTAATAAAAAATTCAACTCAACTTGACATCTCTAGTTGGGCTATTGAATGAGTCAAACCATGGAAAAGAAGGATCGAATTGAAGAGGTCTCCTTCTCTCATCTCAACCACTTAAATAATTTTGTCTTTTAAAGAAGAATCGGCTTCTTTGACTTCCATCGAACGTAGTTTACAAACCATATGTTGGGCAATCGAATCGACCATAATATTTTTTTGGCTAAACTACACTTTTAGTACTCCAACTATTACTTTTGTTATGTTTTAGTCACTTAACTATTCTTTATGAATTATACCTTATGTTATGTTTCAATTTTTATTTTGATTCTTGCTGTTAAAAAAATTAACATAATTATTGATGTGGCACTTTTTCTTTCAAAGATGATATAACATTATCTTATGGTGACATGTCAACATTAAAGTTAATTTTTAACAACGGGTGGCCAAAATGAAACCAAAACTAAATGTTAAACATAGATTTTTAAAAAAATAAATGAATTACTAAAACAAAACAAAAGATGATAATTAAGTTACTAAACGTGTAATTTTCCCATTTTTTATTGGAAGATAATAAATTTTCGAAAACTACTGCCCCGTTGGACCCGCTTACTTCCGGCAGGCCACATCACTCGTCAAAGTCTTCTCTGGTGGACATTATTGTAACATGCCAAAACCGCTATTGTTTGGTCACCTGGTGGCCCGCTTTTGCTTTATTTCTACTTGTATTTTCTGGTTCTTATCCATTTTTTCATTCAATTTTACCATTTTTTCCTATTTTACTTAATATACTTTTATTTTTTTTATTTTACTTAATAAACTTTTGAATTACTCATGTTTTAATTTCTTTAAATTAGTTTATTATTATTTTCATATGATGTGATTTTTTATTATTATTTAATATAAAAATAATTTTAAAAATAAAATAAAAATAAAAGGTGATCAGATGCCACCGTCGGTCGTCGTTGGCCGCCATAGACGATGGACTTTTAAGTCTCAAATTTCATGGGTCGGTTCGCCTTGACCTCCTAAGTTCGAATCTAGTGGTTGTTTCACCGAAAAAATATCCCAAAACTCATGAATCTCGAGTGAAATATTTCGACTTCCTTACTTTTGGTCTCCAATTCGTAGACTTCGAAGCAAGTTCCGACATAATAGAGGTCGGATTCAAACTCAGGATGTCGAGATGAAATGATTCGTGAAATTTGTGACCAAAAAGTCACCATCTACAACGGTCGATGGTGGCGTCCAACCACCTTCTATTTTTATTTTATATTTTAAAGTGGTCAAAACTGATAGTTTAGATACTAAACACGTAAATTTATGTATGCTTTTAAAAAATAAAAATTTAAATACTAAAACAGATTAAAGTTTATAGTTTAGATATTAAACATGTAAGTTATCCTAACTTTAATTTTGGATGAAACTTCACGAAGAAATTTTCAAATAGATTTTGAGTTTTGAAGCTACTATAGTTTACATACAATAATTTTGATAGGTACACATGATCTATTTAAACGAAATTTAAGATATGATAATTAAATCTATTTAGCCTAATGATCTAGAGGGACTGTAATTATTCTATGTCTAACACCATAAAAAAATATCATTATAAATATCTCTTAACCACGACGGAAAGAAAGAATCTTAACTATTTTCTTCTCCTCATAAACTCTTATATTTTTGTATGTCTTCGTCTCTTCTACAAAGAAACATTAGTTAAAATGTTTGTCCTCTTCAGAGTGGGTATATACCCACCCTAAAATCTAAATTTCTTTAGGTTAATTGTTCATTTTTTTGATGGCATTCACCTTAAAATTTTATTTGTGTTCGTCTAGTATGAATTTTTTTTATTATTAATACATATATGTTCACATATCTGTCTCGGACATTTTCGGCCCCTAAGGGAAATTAAAAGATAGACTCTTATAAAACAAAAGTATATTATTTTGAACAAATAATTTAATAATATATTAATAAATCATAGAAAAATGATTAAAATAGGGGCTTAAACTATTAAAGTAAAAAAGTTTAATTAAAAAAATTAGGGCTTCAATTATAAAGGTAAAAAGTGAGATTAAAAAAATTAGGGGCCTCAATTTTAAAGGTAAAAAGTGAGATTAAAAAAAATTAGGGGTCTCAGTTTTAAAGGAAAAAAGTGAGATTGAAAAAATTAGGGAACTAAATTATATAAGTAGAAGATGAGATTAAAAAAATTAGAGGCATCAATTATAAAGGTAAAAAATGAGATTAAAAAATTAGGGGCTCAATTATAAAGGTAAAAGTGAGATTGAAAAAATATGAGCTCAATTATAAAGGTACAATGTAGGATTGAAAAATTTAGAGTCGTCAATTATAAATGTAAAAAAATGAAATTGAAAAAATTAAGGGATAAAAAGTAAAAAGTATAATTAAAAAAATTAGGAACCTCAATTATAAAGATAAAAAATAAAATTGAAAAAAATTAAAAGATTAAATTATAAAAATAAAAAATATAATAAAAAATTAAGGAACCTATAAAATATTTTTAAATTTACTAATGTTACCCTTATATTAACTACGATTTTTCGTTCAAATAAGAAGTATTGAAATTTATTCTCACTAACAATAAAACATTAAGAATCATTGCTAATACACTGTTGTTTTGATTGTTTGACTCATTGGTCCTAATATATATTGAGGATTTTATTATGTACTGTTAGTAGCGGATCCAGAAATATTTTTAAGGGTAGACACATATACGTTAACGATATGAAATCTTTTAACGAGGCAGGCATAAATAAAATTTTAAAGTGGACACTGTCAATAAAATATATCATAATCGAAGAAAACTCAAATTTTAAGATGAGCACAATAAATTTTCAGGGTGGACACCGTCAACAAAATAAATGAGATTGTATTATGTATTGGAGTACTAGGTATACTTATGGTCTCAATTTTAGAAATGTTAAAAATGCTTTATATGTATTGGAGTACCGTCAACAAAAACCAATTGCATGAATCAGTGAAAATATGTGTTTTAACTTTTAAGGGAGTAATAAAGTATGGTATTTGATTAAGTTTTAATCCTATTGATATCATTGTTACTGTTGTATTATAGAAGTAGCGACTTCCAATTGAATTTATTTAAAAGTGTAACTAAATTGAAAGAATATATAAATAATAAGTATCAAATTTGTGATTAAATCAAAATATCACGTCGTTTAATTTGTTAACCCTATTTTTTTGTTTATTAATATGAGGTAAGTATAAGAGTGTATTTATCGAAAGATAATGTCCAAGTCTTCTTAGCCAAAGTCTTCTTAGCCAAAGTCTTCTAACCCACCAGCTTGCTATATGTTTGGCTGGATTTAGTGGAAAACTCCATTGTTAATCCTCAACTGTTGTTGTTGTATTTTAGCATGCCAGAATTAAAAGCAAAGCTGCCATGGTTGGGTCAGCTAATGGCCGCTTTTGCTTTAGTTGTATTTGTATTTCCTGGTGCTTGCCTCGCCAGGCATCTAAACCAGGATTGTGGGTCTGTTTTTTGTGGAAGCTTGAATATCAGTTACCCACTCCGATTGAAAAACCAACCTCCTCACTGTGGTGACCGTAGGTATGAACTTGAGTGTGAGAAAAATAACCGCACCACTTTGGTTTTGAGAGAGAGGAAATTCTCAGTGGAAGAAATCTTTTATGAGAATCATACGATGCGAGTGGTTGATGCCGGCCTCGACATGGATGATTGCAACTCCCTTCCTCTCTCTTCCGCATATTCTTATTTTTCTCTCTGTGAAAACCCAGTTCAATTGAATTATTTTGATTATAATATTAGCCTTATGTATGTTGTGAATTGCACGAAACCTATAGAGTCAGCTCTCTATATTTCAGCATCCCGTTGTAGGATCAACTCCAATGCCTCTTCCTATTTCTACTTTTTAGACATAAGAACCCCAAAGTCTGATTTCAGTCAATCCTGCACCGTGGAAGCGGAGTTTCCAATTGGGGTTAATAATATCTCAGGCATGTCTACGCTGGATATCTACAATAAGCTATCTGAAGGAGTCTTTATTGACTGGATGACGGAGGACGACTTGAAGGAGTATTGCGCCAGCAACCAAGTTTCATTTCAAGACGTGTAAGTTTCTCAGTGTTTTAGTAATCATCATTAACTTTACATTTTTTGTTTAAAGCATTTGCCTCTGCCTTTTGTTTAGTTTGACTCACCTCTACTTTATCGAAACATGCTCTGAATCCGGTCAAAAGTGAGAAAATTGAAATGCCAACGGTCATAGATGACTATTGATTCCAAAAGTCGAAAGTAATCAACGGTGACGAGAAGAGGCGGTGATTATTTTAAATCTTTTTAAGTTTATTTTAAATTATTTTTATATATAATAATATATAAAAATGCAATGAAATAATAATAATAAAGCAATTTGTAGTGACCAAAACAAGAATAATTTGAAAATTTAATGACTAAATTAAAAAATTGAGTGAGTGAAATAGGAGAGAGAGTAAAGTTCAATAGTGAATGGTGTAGTTTACCCAAATTTATATCCATTTGCTTCCTCTTACCTTTTAATACTTATTGTTGTGTCAATTATGTCACTCAGATATTGTCTATTTTGTTGGGTTTTTTTTTAGTAATTTACACTAATATTTAAATGTAATCTAGGTTACAATTCTTGCAAGCCTTGCCATATTCCTTGCCATATGCCTTGCAATATGCCTTGGAAAACTATGTGGATAGCTTCGTGCATTACTTGTTCAATGGCCCCCATGTATCCCCATCTGCAGATCCATCTCACCGTATGTTCAATTGGCAGATTTCATCGTTATTGATCAATTTACACTTTTGCTTCCTCATATTGAAATAAATTTCTTTTTTAATGGCATTATTCTGCAGTTGCTAGCGTTTTATGTGTTGGAGTAACAGGTAAATTAGCTTTAGTTCTGCTATATTTTCACATAATGGGTAACTTTATATTGATCAGATTTTACCAATGCATTCAATTTTACCTTTCTTTTAAAGGAGTAGTTATCTTAGCAAGACATTTACTGTGTTGATCTCATAAAGTACTAATGTTTTCCATTATGTCTTTTTCCGTTAAAAAAAGTTGGACTCATCACGCTGAGGACCTTGCCTGGAATACTTTGTTTGGTTGTGCTTGTTATCTACAAATGGAGAAGAAGTCATTTATCAGCTGATGATAAGATTGAAGAATTCCTTCAAAACCACAATCTCTCACCAATTAGATACTCCTTTAAACAAATCAGAAAAATGACAAAAAGCTTCAAAGAAAAATTAGGCGAAGGGGGCTACGGCTCCGTGTTTAAAGGAAAGCTTCGTAGTGGACATCATGTGGCAGTGAAATTGCTTGGCAAATCAAAGGGTAATGGCCAAGATTTCATAAATGAAGTTGCCTCTATTGGGAGAATCCATCATGCTAATGTGGCAAAACTCGTTGGATTTTGTGTGGAGGGATCAAAGCAAGCTCTTGTATACGACTTCATGTCAAATGGATCTTTGGATAAAATCATATTTACGGAAGAAAATAAGAACGCTCTGGGCTGGAAAAAGATGTTTGAGATTGTGCTTGGGGTGGCTCGAGGAATCGACTACTTGCATCGAGGGTGTGACATGCAAATTTTGCATTTTGATATCAAACCACACAATATTCTTCTAGACCACAATTTTAATCCAAAAGTTTCGGATTTTGGTCTTGCTAAATTGTATTCAGTCGATGAGAGCATCGTGTCTCTCACTGCAGCACGGGGAACAATAGGATACATTGCTCCCGAATTGGTATACAAAAACCTAGGAGGCATTTCATACAAAGCCGATGTTTATAGTTTCGGGATGTTACTAATGGAAATGGTGGGAAAGAGAAAGAATGTGAATGCATTTGCTGAGCACACCAGCCAGATCTATTTTCCATCTTGGATTTATGACCGATTGGATCAAGGTGAGGACATGGAGCTTGGAGATGCTTCTGATGATGAAAAAGTAATGGTTAGGAAGATGCTAATAACAGCCTTTTGGTGCATACAATTACATCCCGCTGATCGTCCATCGATGAGTAAAGTATTGAGGATCCTTGAAAATGAGGACGAGTTACTTGAAATGCCTCCAAAGCCATTTCATCAACTTCCTCTTGACACATCATCGGAGGTTCACGGTGGTGAGAGCCCTAATGATGAGCCAACTGCATCAATGGATTCTATTACCATAAACAGCAGATCAAATGTGGTTTGAGATTGCTTTGCAGCTCTATATTATTTTGCATTTTATATGTACTTGTATAATGTTATATGTGGAGCATATGTACACGGATATATACTATAACAAACACCGTAGATTCCTAAATAAATAATTAACCCACATCCTGTAGAGGGCCTAAAAAGCCGTTGAAGCCGCCCATAGCATATTTTTGGGCTAAAAATCACATATTTTCATTACACGAAAACCACCACGTTTGAACATTTCTCTTACAGTGATTCTCCTTACTAGTTTCTTCTTCCCCTCTCCCACGCCGGCCTTTCACCGGCGTCCGCCGCTTCTGGTTAGTCCAACCTTTCTTTTCATTAAAGAGCTTTTCGAGTTGAAAATCGGATACAATATTTGGGAATTAGATTTCAAACTCTGGGTTTAAATATTTCTTCAAGTTCTTTTCTTTTTTCTGTTTTTCTTCTTCCAGAATATAAATTCTTTGAATGTTTAACAATGGTTTCTTTTCTCTTCTTTTTTTTTGGTAGATGATTTCTAGTGCTAAAAAATTGAACTTTAGTAGGATAGGTTAGCTTAATCCTTCAGTTAATCTCCTTTTTAGCTGCACAAAATTTTGAACATTGTTAGTTAGTTGATTTCTAGTTGTTTTTCATTGTTGTTTGAGTGGTTCTTTTGATGTTTGATACTGCGGTGGTACGCATATGTGGCCTGTACAGTTTTTTTTTTCTTCTTTTGATGGTTCTTTGGTTCGAATTATACTTGTTTGGGAACTTATACGGTACATTGCTTTTGGTCGTAGTTTTTTTCTTTTTGATAAAAGCTTTTGGTCGTAGTAGAGTAGTATAATTATAGATATTATGAGTATTAGATTTTGGAAGTTGAACTTGTTTTACCATTTACCTGTTGTTATCGTCGTCATTCTAAACCAGTTTGATTTAGTCAAATACGATCATGGAACATGAGTTTGCTTAAATTTAAGGCCTCTGTTCAGCTACATTGATTTTCTCATTTTCAGGTGAAATGAAGCATCTTTGTTAGAATGTAGTGTATGCCATCTTCATCGTCTCGTTTAGTGTTACAAGGCCTGTCTTTATCCCGAATCCAGAAGTTCATTCCTAAAAAGTGGAAACAAAGTGTCAAGCCTATAGAGTTTCAATCCGACAAACCGTTTGAATCGTCTGATTGTGAAAAGAATGAGTTGAATACTTCCACACCTGACTTTTCATCTATGATAGAGAACCTTGTTGCATCTTTCAAGGAACTTTTAACCCAAGGACATATACTGAAGGCATTTAAATCATATTCTCATATTCGGCTCCACGTCTCTTCTACTGCTTCTTGTGATGTTATCTTACGCCCCGTCTCTTTTCTTCTTTTATCGTGCACCAACCTTAAATTGCTTCCTCCAGGAAAACAGCTTCATGCCCAAATCATCTCGCTGGGTTTGGAACAACGCCCTCTTCTGGTTCCCAAGCTTGCCAGCTTTTACTCTAAATTTAATCTTTTGGATGATGCTCGGGTTGTTGCAGAGAATTGTAAATTTTTGCACCCATTACCCTGGAATTTGCTTATATCTTCCTTTGTCAAGAACGAGCTTTATAAGGAGGCACTTTCTGCCTATAAAGTAATGGTGAATAAGGGGATTATACCCGATAGTTTCACCTACCCGTCCGTTTTGAAGGCTTGTGGTGAAGAATTGGATGTCGATTTTGGAAGGATGGTTCATAGATCAATTAGTGCTAGTTGTCATGAGTGGAACCTGTATGTGCATAATGCTTTGATTTCCATGTATGGAAAATTTGGACAACTGGATGTTGCTCGTAATTTATTTGACAAAATGGTGGAGAGGGATGATGTCTCTTGGAACACGATGATCAGTTGCTATGCCTCCAGGGGCATCTGGGGAGAAGCATTTATGCTCTTTGATCGCATGCACACTGAAGGTGTCGAGATGAATTTTATAACTTGGAACACTATAGCTGGAGGATGCTTGCGAACCGGGAATTTTAAGCGTTCACTGGAGTTGTGTAGACACTACTTTTCGCCCAGCAACCGCCAGCCGAGTTTCACGGTCAACCCGAAGAATCTTCTCGCCTCACGCCTCCCTCCACATCACCGGAATCCTCGCCAACAACCAACAAACCCTCGTCAACAACTAAATCCCGATGATCTCGGGATTTAGTGGAAACAAACCCCTCCGGCTAAGCTTATAAATACCTGCAAAAATGAAGAATAGAGGAGGTGAGTTCTTTGGAAAACAACACGTACTAACCAAAAGAAAAAAAACAAGAGAAGTTTCGAAAGGGGGTTTCGAAGAGAGAGGGAGGAGTTTACCTCTTGGTCCTGGTCGTCTGCGCTTCATCGCAGTGGAAGGAATCACAAAAGCCATCAAGTGTAACGTTTCTGTAAGGTTTTTATTTTGGGTTTTTTGAATGAAATGGGAGATGAGAGAAAGGGGAAGGAGGAGAGAACAGCTGAAATCCAAATGAATTCACGCGTGAAATAAGGGTTTTTTTTTAGTTTTATAGAATTTGTGGATTAAATAAAATGCTGGTCATTAAAGAGTTCCTCCTTTGTATATATGGACTTATGATTTTATTTATTTCAATTTGGTCACCGTATAATCATAAGTTAGAGGTTTCCTAATTTTCATTTAATTCAATTCAGTTTCAATTTCAAAAAAAATGTCAATATCTGTTTAGACCTTTAAATTTATGGTTTTATTATTTTAGTCCCTTAAATATTTGTTTTTTATATTTCAATACCTTAATTTTTTTTTATTTTTTTAGTTTTTAAAATTATTATTATTTGTTTTATTTCATATTGTTTTTATTTTAACTTTTTTTCCTAACCTTTGATCCATTCAATATTTTTTTTATTATTATTTTGTTATTTTATTTTATATTTTGTTTTATCTCATTTTTTCTTTTTTGATTTGTTTTTTTTGGTTTTTGATTTTTTTCTTTTTCTTTTGATTTTATTTTTATGTTTTTCTTTGATTTATTTAACATTTATTTATTATTTCTTGATTAACATTTTCGAACCTTTTTCAGTAGTAATCACAATCGATCAAATGTAAGCAATTCGAATCGGGTAATTTAAATTTTATTTAATTTTTTTTTATTTTTGCAATTAAAGACAATCAACAAATTAATTGGTACCGAAAGGATGGTTCAATGGTGTTAATCCTTCCTTGACCGTAACCGACTCCCGAACCGATACGTTTATGGTAAAACACATATCAGGTAAGATGGTGTATGATCTACCTAAATATCGTTTTAAAGTGATCGGTGGCGACTCTAACCCAATTATTCAAGTCGAAGCCAAATTCCAGGGCCCAACCGAAAGACGGCCGCGACAAGTTGCTTTCTCAGATGAGAAGTAATGGGTTTCATTTGGATCCAGTGGCAATGATCATCGGGTTAGGGGCATGTTCACATATTGGAGCCTTGAAATTGGGGAAAAAGATTCATGGTTCTGCGATTCGGAGTTGTGATAGGTTTGAGAATGTTAGAAACGCATTGATTACGATGTATTCTAGGTGCAACGGCCTAAGGCATGCTGATCTTTTGTTTTGGTCAAAGGAAGAACGGAGTACAATTACTTGGAACGCAATGCTTTCCGGTTACACTCAATTGGATATGTCCGAATAAGAATCTTTACTGTTCCAGGAGATGTTGCTCTCTGGGGTTGAACCCAATTATGTAACGATTGCAAGCATTCTGCCTCTTTGTGCTAGAGTGGCAAATCTGCAACATGGCAAAGAATTCCACTGCTACATTATCCGACGCAAAGTTTTCGACGATTATTTGTTGTTGTGGAATGCTCTTGTCGCAATGTATGCAAGGTCGGGAAAACTCCTTGCAGCTAAGCATGTATTCGATTTGATTCAGAAGAGGGATGAAGTTACCTATACTTCTTTGATTGCCGGATACGGGATGCAGGACGAGGGACACACTGCTATGAAACTATTTGAAGAGATGGTTAACCTCCAGATCAAACCGGATCATGTAACGATGGTGGCTGTCCTATCGGCTTGCAGCCATTGTGGTCTGGTACTCGAAGGCCAACTTTGGTTTAAGAAGATGCAAAGTTTGTACGGTATAGTTCCTCGTTTGGAGCACTTTTCTTGCATGGTCGACCTCTACGGGAGAGCCGGATTGTTGAATAAAGCAAAGGAAACCATCACACGGATGCCATATAAGCCAACCACCGCCATGTGGGCGACTCTCTTGGGAGCCTGTAGGATCCATGGAAACACAGATATAGGGGAATGGGCGGCCGAGAAACTCTTGGAGCTTAGACCCGAGAATTCAGGGTACTGTGTTGATCGCCAACATGCATGCCGCTGCCGGTTGTTGGAACGAACTAGCGAAAGTCAGGACTCTGATGAGGAATTCGGGCGTAACGAAGTCTCCCGGTTGTACTTGGGTGGACGTCGGGTCAGTATTTACCCCGTTCGTTGTGGGGGACACGTTGAATCCATACGCACCTGAGATTTATCAAACGCTGGGTGGACTGACCGAACTGATGAAGGATGATGGTTATGTTTCTTCGAACACGATGGTTTTGGACGGTGAAGTTCTTGAGGAAACCGGATGAAACCTGGATTATATATACGGTGTGGTTCACTGATAGTGTTCTGTAGAGTCCCTAAAAAGAGTAAACACATTTTTTTTTCTATAGGAGATTCGATGATGGATAAACATTGAAGCAGGTTCTTCAAAATTATATCAACATTTTTCATGCATTTTTGCTGCTAAACAATCAGATATGCTAATCATAGGATTTTTACAATTGTTTATGCTTTATTTCTACTTGTATTTCCTGGTGCTTGTCTCGCTAGGCATAGAAATCATGATTGTGGGTCTGTTTTCTGTGGAAGCTTGAATTTCAGTTATCCATTAAGATTAAAAGATCAACCTCGCCGATGTGGTGACCATAGGTATGAACTTGGGTGTATGACAAAACAACCGCACCACTGTTGTTTTGGAAGAAGGCAAATTCTCTGTACTGGAATTCTTTTATGAAAATGGTTCAATGAAAGTGGTTGATGCAGGCCTCAACAGGAGTGTTATAGTTTCTAACTTGATCATCTCTAATTGGGATATTGAATGAGTCAAACCATGGAAAAGAAGGATCGAATTGAAGAGGTCTCCTTCTCTCATCTCAACCACTTAAATATTTTTGTCTTTTAAAGAAGAATTGGCTTCCATCGAACGTAGTTTACAAACCATATGTTAGGCAATCGAATCGACCATAATATTTTTTAGGCTAAACTACACTTTTAGTACTCCAAATATCACTTTTGTTCTGTTTTAGTCATTTAACTATTTTTAATGAATTATACCTTATGTTATGTTTCGATTTTATTTTGATTCTTGTTGTTAAAAAAATTAATGATTTTATTTTGATTCTTGTTGTTAAAAAAATTAACATAATTATTGATGTGACACTTTTTTTCAAAGATGATATGACATTATCTTATGGTGACATGTCAATATCAAGGTTAATTTTTAACGATGGCCAAAATGAAACCAAAACTAAATGTTAAGTATGATTTTGAAAAAATAGTTGAATGACTAAAACAAAATAAAAGATGATAATTAAGGTACTAAACGTGCAATTTTTCCATTTTTAGTGGAAGATAATAAATTTTGGAAAACTGCTGCCCCGTTGGACCCGCTTACTTCCGACAGGCCACATCACTCGTCAAGGTCTTCTCTGTCCGCAATATGGCTGAATTTCGTTAGAAACTTCATCGTTTACTCATGTTTTTATCACTTTAAATTGTTTATTATTATTTTCGTATGATGTGTTTTTATTATTATTTTATATAAAAATGATTTTAAATATAAAATAAAAGCAGAAGATAGTCGGATGTCACCGTCGGTTATCATCGGGCGTCATAGACAGTGACCTTTTTAGTCTCAAATTTCACGGGTCGGTTCGTCTTGACCTCTTAAGTTCGAATCTAGTGGTTGTTTTCACCGAAAAATGTCTCAAAACCCATGAATCTCGAGTGAAATATTTCGGCTTCCTCACTTTTGATCTCTAATTCGTGGACTTCGAAGCAAGTTCCGACATAATGGAGGTCGGATTCGAACTCAGGATGTCGAAGCGAAACGATCCCTGAAATTTGGGACCAAAAAGTCACCATCTACAACGGTCGATGGTGGCGTCCAACCACCTTCTGTTTTTATTTTAAATTTTAAAGTGATCAAAACTGATAGTTTAGATACTAAACACGTAAGTTTATATATGCTTTTAAAAAAATAAAAGTTTAAATACTAAAACGGATTAAAGTTGATAATTTAGTTACTAAACATGTAAGTTACCCCGACTTTAATTCTGGATGTAACTTCCCGAAGATTCAAATAGATTGATTTTTGAAGCGGCTATAGTTTATATACAAGAATTTTGATAGGTACACCTGATCTATTTAAAGAAATTTAAGATATGATAATCAAATCTATTTACTCTAATGATCTAGAGTGACTGTAATTATTCTATGTTTAACACCATAAGAAAATATCACTATAAATACCACTTAACCACGACTAAAATAAAGAAAATTATCATAAACTTATATTTTTTTTATGTCTTCGTCTCTTCTACAAAGAAACATTAGTAAAAAATGTATATCCTCTCCATACCCACCCTTAAATCTAATTTTTTTAGATTAATTGTTCATTTTATTGATGACATTCACCCTAAAATTTTATTTGTGTTCGTCTTGTATGATTTTTTTATTATTAATACATATATGTTCACAGAGTCGTCTCGGACATTTTCGCCCCCTGAGCGAAATTAAAATATAGACTTTTATAAAATGAAAGTATATTATTTTGAACAAATAATTTAATATTATATTAATAAATCATAGAAAAATGATTAAAATAGGGGTTTAAACTATTAAGGTAAAAAGTGTGATTAAAAATATTAGGGATTAGTAAAAAGTGAGATTAAAAAAATTATGTTCCTCAATTTTAAAGGTAAAAAGTGAGATTAAAATATTAGGGGCCTCAATTTTAAAAGTAAAAAGTGAGACTGAAAAAATTAGGGAACTAAATTATATAAGTAAAAGATAGGAATGAAAAAATTGAGGTCTCAATTATAAAGGTAAAAAATGAGATTAAAAAATTAGGGGCTCAATTATAAAGGTAGAAAGTGAGATTGAAAAAATTAAGAGCTCAATTATAAAGGTATATGTAGACACTCATTTTCGCCCGGAGTTATTTTTTATTATATATTTTTGTTTTATTATATGTATGTATATATATATATATGTATATAGTAATATAGCTTGTGAAAATGTTTTTGACAAAATATAATATATAATTTTCACAAAACGATTTTCGAAAATTTATATATTGTATAGTTTTTGAAAATATTTTGAAAATATATATAATATATAGTTTTTAAAAACATTTTTGAAAACTTATATAATATATACTTTTAAAAAACATTTTTAAAAAAATTATATAATATATAGTTTTTAAAAAACATTTTTGAAAAATTATATAATATATAGTTTTGAAAACTTTTTTAAAATATATTATATAGTTAAAAAATATTTTTGAAATATATGTTATATAAATTTAAAACAATTTTTTTTAAAATATATATATTATATAGTATATATATATATATATATATATATGTATTTCATTTTATTATTTATTTATTATTTACTCGTTTTTTGTTAGGTCCAAATAATCCAATGGGTCTCGGTTGAGAGATATGGGCCTGAATCAGCCAAGGGAGTTTAGGGTTTGGGAACCCTAACATATCAACAGCGCCGCACAGGGGGCCAAACGGTCAAACGGCACATCGGCCGGCCAGGAAAATTGGGACTGCACCATCCCGGGATTCCCGGCTACGTTAGCATGGGGAACAAGAGGATATATTGCTCCTGAATTTGTAAACAAAAAGGTGGGAGGTATCTCATACAAAGACGATGTTTATAGCGGGATGTTACTAATGGAAATGGTGAGAAGGAGAAAGAATGTGAATGCATTTGCTGACTGCACCAGTAAAATCTATTTTCCATCTTGGATTTATGACCGATTGGATCAAGGTGACGACATGGAGCTTGGAGATGTTTTTGATGATGAAAAAAACATGGTATTCTTACAATTATATCAACATCTTGGAGTTTTTAAAGCAGGTTCTTCAAAATTATATCAACATTTTTTAATGCATTTTTGCTGCTAAACTAATCAGATACGCTAATCATAGTATTCTATCTTCTTTTGCCATTTTCCTTTTATGATGATCTTTGTAAATCTAAACATTGATTGTATTTGGTAGCAGTTTACTGTTCTTTGGGTAATAAAATCAAATTATCCAAAAAAAATCTTAAATGTTAGACTGAGATGCAGCTTAGGACGTATGCATTTGAGCTTAGGGATAGTAATTTAATTCGAAATGATGGATTTTTACTTGATATGATGGGATTGGATTTTTTAAAAAAATTAAGGTTCAGGTTATGTCGGATATTTTAGAAAGTGAGGCCGAATCAAGTTCGGACGGAGGGTGAAAAAGCTCCAATCCAACATGGTATAATAGTATAATTTCTTCAAATAAATTTATAGATAATTGTTATAATACTCTATATCTATTGTTTTTTAATTAAACTCTTATTTTATATTAGGTCGGATCGAATGGAATTTATATTCTAAAAACTCAGATTGGATTCGGATATAGGATACATATTTTTTAGCCGGGTTAAATGAAAGATATATATTTTTCAGATCAAATCAAATTTGAGTCGATGATATATATATTGTTTAGGTTGGAGCATGAGCCGTTGCTATCCCTAGTTGGGCTATTGAAGGAGTCAAACCATGGAAAAGAAGGTTGAAATTGAAGAGGTTTCCTCTCCTCTCGACCACTTAATATTTTTTTTTTTAAAGAATTGGCTTCTATTGACTTCCAACGAACGTAGTTTACAAGGTATATGTCAGGCAATCGAATGATAATGATATCAAGTGGAGCCATAAATTTTAGGCTAAACTACACTTTTAGTACTCTAACTATCACTTTCATTCTATTTTAGTCACCTGACTATTTTTATTAAATTATACCTTACGTTATGTTTTGGTTTTATTTTGGTTTCCACTGTTAAAGAAATCAACATAATTGTTGATGTTACATTTTTTATTTTTTTCAAAGATGATATGACACTGTTATGTGATGACATGTCAACATCAACGTTAATTTTATAACGGCAGTTGATCAAAATGAAATCAAAACTAAAACGTCAAGTATGATTTTGAAAAAAAATAGTTGGATGACTAAAACAAAACAAAAAAGGATAGTTGATGTATTAAACGTGTAATTTGGCCATCGGAAGATAAAAATTTTGGAAAAATGCTGCCTTGTTGGACCCGCTTATTTCCGGCCGGTCTAAGCACTTGTCAAAGTCTTCTCTGTTCCCAATAAGGCTGAATTTCGTTACAAACTTCATCGTTAATCCCCCATTGTTGTTCTTCTTCCCTACAGAACATTATTGTAGCATGTCAAAGCTGCCATTGTTGGGTCACCTGGTGGCCGCTTATGCTTTATTTCTACTTGTATTTCCCGGTGCTTGCCTCGCTAGGCATCGAAATCAGGAATGTGAGTCCGTTTTCTGTGGAAGCTTGAATATCAGTCATCCATTCCGATTAAAAGATCAACCTCGCCGATGTGGTGACCATAGGTATGAACTTGAGTGTGATAAAAACAACCGCGCCACTGTTGTTTTGGAAGAAGGGGAATTCTCTGTACTGGAAATCTTTTACGAAAATGGTTCAATGAGAGTGGTTGATGCAAACCTCAACATGGATGATTGTAACTCCCTTCCTCTCAGTTCAATGCATCCCCAGTACCTATATTTTTCTGGGTTTTTCAACCCCTCCTGTGAAGATCATAGTTATTATGGGAATCAAGACGGGCTTTACTTTGCATATGTTTTAAACTGCACGGAACCTATAAAATCATCTTGGTATATTGAAGCCTCTCGTTGTGCCACCGAACTTGCTACTTCCTATTACTATTTCTTCCTTGATCCTACGGCTGCATCAGATCTCAGTCAATCTTGCACTGTGGAAGCTATCGTTCCGTTTGTGTCTGATCCTATGGAACGGCCCGTCACAACGCGGGGTATCTACAGGGATATATCCAAGGGTTTTGTGCTTTCATGGTGCAATTTCAGCAGCAGCGGTGGACTTTCATTTCAAGACGTGTAAGTTTCTTCAAGTATACACTGAATCGTTTATACACCTGGTTGTATCATTCATATCATTAAATTTTTAATTTTGTCAAGTGTAGCACTGAACTTTGATTTTCGTTTCTATTATACTACTGAATCATTAAATTATTAACAGTATGATGACGTGACTAACGGTTGTCGACGTGGCTAACGACTGCCGGCGCATAAAAACACCAAAACGGTGTTGTTTTGATCTAGCTGTTAACGATTTAACTGTCCAATAGTATTAGTTAAAAGGAAAATCAAAATCTAATATCATAATTGAAAAAATTAAAAATTTAGTGATATGAACGATATAACACCTAAAATTTGATGATATCTAATTTAATTTACCCTAATAAAATTTGTAACTTCAATTTCGGAGATCACTCCCCCAAGAAAATTTCAGATAGATTTCTTTGCTTACCAAGCCTCCAACAAATCTGTCTCCTGCTCTAGATACATGATTACCGTAGTTTTTGAATTTTGAACCAGCTATAATTTATACATAAAACTTTTGATAGGTACATAAGTGAAATTTAAGATCTAAAAACTATATCTATTTAACTTATTGACATATATTGTCGTAATTATCTTATGTATAATATTATCAATTAAAATTATTGTAAATATTTCTCAACCACTATTGAAAAAAGAAATCCTTATTACTTTCTCTCCTCTGTCACTCCTATATTTTTCTTATGTCTTCATGTCTCCACAAAAAAAATATCGGTCAACTGACATCTCTCAGTGACAGATGTATACGTTCGTCAGAGTGGGCACGTGAAATTCAAATTTCTTTAGGTTAATTCTTCATTTTATCGACGGTATCTCTCTTGAAATTTTATTTATGTCCATCTTATATGAAAATTTTCAGTTATTAATACATATATGCCCACGTTAGAAAATATTTTTGGACATGTCAACCTCACCTGTGCACCAACTATAAATTTTTTTCCAAATCAAAATAACCAAAGCGTCGACTACCTACAAAAACTCATATATCCTCATCAAAAATAAAACAATAAGAATCATTGCTCTGTTGTTTTGAATATGGTCTTTTGTTTGACTCATTGGTCCTAATATACTGCAGATTGTACCATGTACGATATGGCCTCCAAGTGTATTTCCGCTACATTTACTACTACTATGTTGAAGGCGAAATTGATTACTGTATGATTTGCAGGTTTTATTTGTTTTAACTGATATTTTGCCCTTTTAATCCTAAGTAATATTGATATATCTTTTGTTTTTTGTATTTTTACAGATAAGGCTTGCAGCTTATGTATTGGAGTACCAGGTATACTTATGGTCTCAATTTTAGAAAAGTTAAAAATGCTTTATATGTATTTATTTTGATTTTAAAGTTAAAAAAATCTTTCTTAATTTTATCTGGTCTGCATAGGAAAAACACACTGTTTCAAAGCTAATTGCATGAACTATTTCTTTTACGTTGTTTTGTTGATCTCACAAGACACAAAGTACTAATGTTGTCCAATTTGTGTGTGTATATATATATATAAAGCTGGAGCTATCATACTGAGGACTTCGTCTGGAATACTTTGTTTGGTCGTGCTTGTGATCTACAAATGGAGAAGAAGGCATTTATCAGCTGATGATAAGATTGAAGAGTTCCTTGAAAACTACAATCTTTCACCAATTAGATACTCTTTTAAACAAATCAGAAAAATGACTAGAGGTTTCAAAGAAAAATTAGGTGAAGGGGGCTACGGCTCCGTGTTTAAAGGAAAACTTCGTAGTGGACATCATGTGGCAGTGAAATTGCTTGGCAAATCAAAGGGTAATGGCCAAGATTTCATAAATGAAGTTGCCTCTATGGGGAGAATCCATCATGCTAATGTGGCAAAACTCGTTGGATTTTGTGTGGAGGGATCAAAGCAAGCTCTTGTATACGACTTCATGTCAAATGGATCTTTGGATAAAATCATATTTACGGAAGAAAATAAGAACGCTCTGGGCTGGAAAAAGATGCTTGAGATTGTGCTTGGGGTGGCTCGAGGAATCGACTACTTGCATCAAGGGTGTGACATGCAAATTTTGCATTTTGATATCAAACCACACAATATTCTTCTAGACCACAATTTTAATCCAAAAGTTTCGGATTTTGGTCTTGCTAAATTGTATTCAGTCGATGAGAGCATCGTGTCTCTCACTGCAGCACGGGGAACAATAGGATACATTGCTCCCGAATTGGTATACAAAAACCTAGGAGGCATTTCATACAAAGCCGATGTTTATAGTTTCGGGATGTTACTAATGGAGATGGTGGGAAAGAGAAAGAATGTGAATGCATTTGCCGATCACACCAGTCAAATCTATTTTCCGTCTTGGATTTATGACCGATTGGATCAAGGAGAGGACATGGAGCTTGGAGATGCTTCTGATGATGAAAAAGTAATGGTTAGGAAGATGCTAATAACAGCCTTTTGGTGCATACAATTACATCCCGCTGATCGTCCATCGATGAGTAAAGTCTTGAGGATGCTTGAAAATGAGGATGAGTTACTTGAAATGCCTCCAAAACCATTTCATCGACCTCCTGTTGACACATCATCGAAGTTTCACTGTGGTGAGAGCCCTAATATTGATGAGTCAACTACGTCAATGGATTCTATTACCGTAAGCAGCAGATCAAATGTGGTTTGAGATCGGAAGCATTTTATTTCTTTGCAGCTCTATATTATTTTGCATTTTATATGTACTTGTATAATGTTATATGTGGAGCATATCTACACGGATATATACTTTATTTTACTTTATTTTAATGTTATAAGATGAATCGTAGATGAATAAAAGGGATAAATCTCAACATAATCCCTATATAAAATGGTATTTAAGGTAAGTGTGAACCAAAATAAATGGATTCTGTTACTATAACCAGTTCAAATGTAGTTTGAGGTTAGGGACATTCCATTCCTTTGTAGCTTTATATTATGTCACCTTTTATACGTAATAGTATTTTGTTACGATAATATTATCATTATAATATGATTTTATATATATAGGACGAGATCTATACTGAGATTTTTTTAGTTTTTAAAAACTTCGAATTTTACTATTAAATCAAAGCCTTTTAAGTTATTTTAAAATAATTGTACCTCTAAAGTGATATGTATGTTAAGCTAAATGTAGCTTGTGTCATATATGTTAAGCTATTGAATGATAATAGTGACGTTAAATGAAGATAAATAAAATTAGAGGTATTAAATTGGGAAAAGTACTGTCCCTTTGGTCCTCCTCACTTCTTCTGACTTCACCCTGCCTTGAAACTGAGGGAATTTCCTAGTCCAACAAGTCTTCTTATATTTCCTGCAAATTCCAGCAAGTTCATAACAAAATTTTGGGTAAATTATACATATAATACTTAAACTATTAGTTTTGGTCTATTTTAATAGATAAACTTTTATTTTTTTTCAAAATCATACCTAACGTTTACGTCAATTTTAAAGAGAAAATAAAACTAAAAGTTTAAATTATTCTTAAATTAGAACAAAGAGAAATACTGGAAACCTTTGGACAATGAAAATTGAACGTTGAAAGAGAACTAGGACCAAATTAAAATTAAATATAAAATTTGATACTAATTTTATTAATTATCATGTCATATGCCATTAATTTTAAATGATTTATCAAATTTATTAATATTTCTTAAACTAAATGATTGTCCATAATTGTTTTTATAATTGAAGACTCCATAAAATGAGCCTTGAAAGTACCATTTACGCATTTTATTTTAGATACGAATTAAATGATTTCGGTGGTTAAGGGAATTATTTTTATGTTTTGAGATCCTGAGTTTGAGCACACAATTACACCACTTTCTCATGTTTGGTTCAAGTTTTTAAAGGGAGAATTGAAATCAAATTCCATCAAATGAGGGAAAGTAAATTTCATCCATAACATGATGGAATTGAAATCATTTGGAGGAGAGAATGTGAAATTTGACCATACTACTCTCATCAATATTTTGGCATTCGGGTCGGATTTTTTTTAAAAAAAATTCAGGATCGAGTCAGATTTTTTTTTAAATGCGGGTTTGGGTCTGGTTTTTTTAAGTGTGATATTCGGGTCGGGATCTTTTTAAAAAATTTTGGGATCGGGTCGGATTTTTTTTTTAAAAAATCCGGTTCGGGTCATGTCGAGTCGGTTTTTTAAGTGTGATATTCGGGTCGGGTTTAGGGTTTGGGTCAGGTTTAGGGTTCGAGTCGGTTTTAAAGTTTTTTTAAGTCACTATTTTTATTGAATAAAAATATTTTTTTTATTATTTCGTGTCGGGTTGGGTTTCTAATTCATATATTCGGGTCGAGTCAGGTGAAATTTTATTTTGGTCGAGTTGGATCGGGTCTCGGGTGAAGGTTCCCTTGTTATCGGGTCGGGTCTGGTGGACCAAAAACCCGACCCAACCCGACCAATGACCATCCCTAATTGCGATGATTTTAACTTATGATGTTTATTATCATGATTTTTATAATTTATTGAAATGAATAATCAATCAATAAAATAAAAATTTAATATTTTTTAATTTTTTATAATAAATTACTACATGTAAGTTATAAAACAAATTAAAATAAAGCAAAAAAAGAAGGGTAATTCTGTCATTTTACATTACTGAAATCAAATTCATTTAATATGTCTGCGAACCAAACATAATATGGAATTGAATTCCAATTCAATTTTCTGCCAACCAAACAGGTTTCAGATTCAGATTCCAATTCCTGACAGATTCCAATTCCTTCACAGATTCAAATTCTCTCATAAACATTCCAACGAACCAAACGCCACTAAGAGTCTTTAAATAAATAATATTTATTATTTACTCCCATTTATAAAAAAACGTATTTTACTTTAGAAATTAAGTCAAGATCAAGCACATGCCTAATATACTTTGTTTCGAAAGATAAGCATATCGTTGGAGATCAATATGCATGTCATAAACAAATAAATTATATGAAAATTATGTTGTGGGTAAAAAAAATTATATTTTCGCTAATCATAAGGGTTAAATTAAAATTTATTATTAGTCTTTGTATTATGTGTATTTCCTGGTGCTTGTCTCGCTAGGCATAGAAATCATGATTGTGGGTCTGTTTTCTGTGGAAGCTTGAATATCAGTTATCCATTAAGATTAAAAACTCAACCTAGCCGATATGGTGACTGTTATAACCATTTTTTTTTAAAACAATTAAAATATTATTTTTAAAAATAATTATGACTTTAATTTGGAAAAATTGGAAAATTTGGATTGATTTGAATAAAATTGAAAAGAGCCGCCATCGACCTTTGGGTTAGGTAGGTCGAATACCTAAAAACGTCTTTTAAAACAATTTTAAGAAAAATCATTTTTTTTAAAGACAAGATTCGGTCTGTGTTACCAAAGATTCATTTAAACGGATTCGGGAGTCGGTTACGTATAGGGAAGGGTAAACACCCCCTCACAACGCCCAAAATCGGTACTTAGTCACTTATATATCGTCGTAAATGGTGGAAATTACAAATTGAATATAAAACTAAAATATGATTCGTTTATTGAGATTTAATTAATTTACTTCGAATTATTTTATCAGAGAAAATTCTTTAATTTGAAAAGAAATCTCGAGATTAACAATCCTCCGTCGGGAAAGTTAACTCGTCTATTTCTTATCTTTTAAAGAATATTCTCTCATCATTTATTTAAAAAACGTGTATCGAATATAAAATGAAAATTTAAAATTTACATTCACATAAAATAAAGTGAGCGTCACTTAAGGTACCACACATTACATCATTTTAATAAATTAATTAGTAAAATATACTCGACTTGTTGCAAGTTCCTATGTCGTTAAAATGCCGTATCGGATCGTACCACTTCGACCAAGTGGTACTTTCCACGCCCATTCTACGCATACGTGTTCTTGAAAATATAATCGAATATTTCTTACATAGATAAAAATAAAATGAAAATAAATGTAATTGGAAATATAAAATAAAATATTTACATAATACAAATAACCGAATAACAAATACAATAAAATCATACATAAATGAATAAAATAAAATATTCACAAATGTCAGGGATAAATTCGAACATTAACAAAAATACCTAACATATAAAATCAAGGACTAAAATGAAACTATTACAAACATTGGGACCAAAGTCAAGTATCCACAAAAATGACATTACATACATTAATATGACTAAAATAGAAATACATAAACATAATGGACTAAATTAGTAAAAGCATAAATTAACAGGGCTAAAAAGTAATTACAAAATAAACAGGGCCTAAATCATAAACAACAACTAATACAAACATCAGAAATGTGAATAAGCCATAAATACTACTTAGAACTAGATTGAAATTAAAACAGAAACATGAAGGCTGAATAATAATTAAACCAAAAAGTAAAACAAGGACTAAAATAAAAGATTTATAAATGTGGTGGCCAGATTCGAATACCACAGAAAAATACACAATGAACTAAAACAGTGACTAAAATGAAATAATTACAAATATGAGCTCAAAACAAAGTATTTACCCAAAATACAATAATGAACAAATAGGGATCAAAATGAAAAGATATAAAATATCAGGCCACCATTATAATTTAAACAAAAACACCATAATAATAATAAATAAGGACTGGAATGAAATACATGAAATATACATTACTTAAATAAAAATATACTAAAATAGCATGACCAAATTGAAATAATACCATAAAAAAATTAAAACAGACAAGGACTAAATTGCAAAGTTAAACAAGATAGGAGCTCAAAGTGAAAGGCCATTAAACTTCCATTCATGAAAGAAAATCGAAGGTTTACAAACTACAAGGACCAAATATAACATTAACCCCTAAAGTCCAGGACACGGGTAAGAGTTTATAAAGGAGCGAGGACTAAATGGGATATTAACCCCAAAAATCCCAAGCGCTCGGCCTCCCTATGCGACGTCGTTTCAATCATATAATTTAAGCCTAAAATGGGCTTTCAATTTCCCATTCCCCTCATTTTCCCCATCTTCCCCTCTCTCTTAAAAATAGAGAACAGAAGAAGCTCTCAATGTTCTCTCCTTCTCTGCCTTTGTCTCCGTCGTGGAGAGAAAGCACAGGAACCACGGCCGCCGCAGCCAGCGGCGATGGCTTGAGAAATCAACCCATGACCAACCCTTCTCTCTTCCTTTGAACACTAACCCTTCTCCTACCCCAAGCAAAAACCGAAACCCCCTATTCGAAAACCCTAGATCCAAAATAAGGGAAAGTTTACCTTCAATACGGCCTTCTCTGTTCTGGCTAGGCTACAACGACGAGGTTTTCTACAAGGGTAAGATCTCCCTCACTTTGTTTTTTTTAGCACTCTCTCTATTTTTTTCTGGTTATCACCGAATCCCCTATTTTCTCTTCTTTGGTCTTTTATGTTTTCTTCCATATGGATTTCTGGTGAGATGATGATGATATCTAGGTAGATAGGATTTGATTTCTCTGATTTGGGTGATAAAGTCCAGATTTTTCGGGATTTTTGGGTGTTATTTTAATGGGTTTTTTTAGATTTGGGGTAAGTTTGATACACTGTTGATGACATTTGCTTCACTGTGTGACCAGATTGCTGATGACGACCGGCTCGGGATTCACCATCGACACCTCAAGCACGGCTGGGAGATGGAAGGCCAAACGGCTGTGGCGATTGGTTGTTAGATGATAGCCTTATGGTGAATCAAGTTTAGGGTTTGGCTGATGGGTGTTAGGTTTAGC